AGACCTGTTTTAATCAATCTGAAGAAATGCCAAGATTCTTCCTTTGCTGTCTGCTTTTATGAAAGTTGATTTTTTAGGATAAGGCTTAAATTCTTAAGAGTGAATTTCTTCATTTTGTATCAGATTAATATTTTAAAGCAACTGATGATTTTTCCCCAATGCCACTATTCATGGTAGAATTTATATATTAAAGGATGTGCTCTGAGCCCACCTCTTCTTGCAGTGTAGCTGTACTGTTAGCTTTCATTTTCATAAAGTTGATGTTCTAACACTGGAAATAGCATGAACTCGGAAGTGTCATCCTTAAATAACCATTGAGCTCTGTGAATATTATCATATCCCCTTTTGTCTCAACTTTGTATTTTATTTCCGTCTTCTGTTTTTTAACTTCTTTTTCTCCGACTTGTACTTGGATTCCTTGTTTTTGCTTTTCATTAATTTTACATCTCTGTTTCCCTTATCTTCTTGCTGTGTTGGTTCTGTGAATTCTGCCTTTCTCTTTGGCTTCCACCATTCTTGCTTCCACCTCTGCCCCCTTCCAATTCAGCCTTGTTCTGATATTTTCCTATAACTCCAAATAAGCCTTTCAAAACTTGATATATAACAATAGGACTTCCTTTGTGCTTTCCTGTTTTCTTAACTGGTGTTTTGTGGACTTTTAAATTCTATCCTTAGTTACCACACTTGCATTAACTTCCCCAATTGGTATATTTTTTTGTTTATGCGAATAGGGCTTCTGAAATCACCTCTCGATGTGACTGAACATATTTTGTTACCTGGTTATAAGAGAAAAGAAACAAAACTCTTCAAACCACTAAACTATTTTGAAGGAGCTTTTCTCCTGTTTGCGGGGGAGGAGAGATTATATTCTTCCTTTGTTTATAAGTTCCTGAATTTGTGCTTGCATCCGCAAGGTCATTGCACAGGAAGGTCTGCAAACCATTTATCAACTTGTCTTCTACTCATACCAGCCAAGAACTAGAATATAGTGACACTGTTTTCTATATGGCTGAACTGGACAGTAGACTCCAGAAGGGGCTTAGCTCTTTACTCTCATTTAAGCATGAGTTTATTTTGCATGTGTAAAATATCAATGAATGGTACTTACAGAAAGGCTATTACAGATCCGAAATTGCAGGTTTTTCCAGTACTCCTTTCCTTTAGCAGAGAGGTGGTTTTGCTTTGGGAACCCCACTGAAATTGTTACCAGTGAAATTCAGCTAAATATGTTGAGCTTAGAGTGCTCAGAATGAAGCCACGAAAGGCCTCAGTTACGATTTAAATGTTGTCTCCTGTTTGAGAGCGATATTCTTTTGCAAGTGTGAGATGACTGCAGTTTGTCTTCACTGTGTCTGCAGCAAGCATCAGCATGCACAAAGGCTTACGAAATTACAAGGGTTTTAGCTGAAAGTGACAGCCATTAGAGAGCTGCTAAGCTTTGTTAAAAGGCTCTGACTTAATTCTCAGTTCGCTGCAAGCGTTGCCCCTACCAAATCAGAATGGTTCGGTGCCTCTCACGGGATGCCCAGTGCTGGCCACGCTCGAAATAGGATTTCAGGTTTGGGCCCTCCCCGTCTGCGGCGGCGGAGGCTGAATCACTGCAGCAGCTCCAGCTCCGTGCTGGGCTCCTCGGGATGCCCACGAGGTCTTGTCTCACCCTCCCTTCTCCTCCAGGATTGACCAAGCAGCTGCTTGGGCTGTTTACAAGTTCAGGAGGGAAAAAAAAATCAGCAATTGGAAATTGCATTTTACCAGGCAGCAGCTGCCTGTGTCCTCCAAAGGAAAGACAGTAGCCGAGTGGGAGGTGTCTGAGGTCTGTGCTTTGAATAGTGTCTGTATGTGGAGCTGGAGAGATTTGTTAGCCAGCTGTTAACAAAAATGTAAACAATTATTTGCTAGTGATGAGACTAATCATTGTTCTTTGAAATAACTTTCTATTGACTTTCTGTAAATATTCTTTGAGAATTGTTAGGTATGAATAGACTAGTGTGCTAGCAAAGCAGTTGTTAGCTCTACAGGAGACTGTTCTGGATGTTGCTATTTTTCTCTCATCTGTTTTTAGTGTCTCTGCAGCTGTTAAGTCCTTCTCTCCTCTCCCACTGTAATTCTGTACAGAATTAATGATCAATTGCTACTTCCTTTTCCTACACAGGCTTGCATACCTATACTAATTAAGCACTCGCATAGTAAAATTGCAGCTAGAAAGCCATCTAGGTTTGGATGATGACACTTCAATGACTTGTAACATTTACAAATGTTAATATTTATCTTGGGCCTGCTGTCTGTGGTTGAGTGTGCAGCTGGTTGGCATTACAGCTCTCTGTTTCTCTGGACACTGTGTTTTTGGCCAAGGAAAGTGTTGCTTTTCATAAGATGGCATTGCTATACAATATTGTAACTTCTTTCTGTATTCACTTAAATCACGTTTTTAATACTCATGTTTTAGAAATGCAAGGTTTTGAGGCGCTTAACATAAATGAGTCAATGTTTCCTTCTGCCCCGAATTCTTCTCAAGCAGAAAGTTCTTCCTATGAGTATTTAGGGCGATGCCCCTGACAAAAGCAAAGATATGAACCAAGTCCCAGTTTCCACTGAATTCAAGGATTTTAGGCACAAATTTTCCTTTCTGCAGTTCTCCTTGCTTCTCACAGGTCAGAAGCAACAGCAGCGCTTTGGCTGTTCCCAGTTGAGTCAGTTGGCATGCAAATCACTCTGCAGTAATGCCCAAGGTTCCTGTTGTGCTGGGCCTTGGGTAAAGCACAGGACAGACTTTCAGCTTCATCACCTGCCCTGGACAGCAGGGAAGAGGTGGAGGCTTGAGTTGTTCTTTTGATAAAACTGAGTAGGATCATAAGATCAGATTTGCTTTGCAGATACCCCAACACAGATCATGTTAATACTAACATAATTCCATGGTGCAAATAAATACCAGTGGGGAAGTGTCACAGAATGCATGCTCCAGGGAAAACTGTCCCTCCTCTCTTCACTACCAGAAATGGGCATGAAAAAACAGAAATGAAGCCTAGGGAAAATATCAAGCAATGTAAATGACTTATTCCTGATTGCTCTTGCATCTGAGTGTGGGGTTAAGGGAGACTTCTGCATGTGGATGCAGCACATAGTTAAGCTGTAGGGAAGGTAGCTCTTGTCCTGTAACTGCTGCACGTCTGGACAAAGACATTGTTTGGCATCTCTTTCTAGTTGAAAGCATAGGAATCCAAGCAGTGTTCCTTGATAGTAAAGCACACTGTGGATAATCACTGTTTCTGAGCTTTGCTGCTCACTAAATATCTTAGGTAGCTTGCTTCATACTGTACAAGTGTCTCTGGAGACCTGGTCTGTAGTGGACTTTGTGTGAAGCTGTGGTGTACTACTGAATTAATAAGCAGTATCCATAAATTATGCTGGTTTCTGGTTACTATTTAAAGCTTTTGAGTTACTGTTACATTTGTTTTTAAAATACTCAGGAGGAAACACTGAACATTCTTTTCCTGCTTACACTCGTGTTACTGGGACAAGGCAGGAATTCTTGACTACGCCTTTAGAATTAAAATTTTAACAAAATGTTAAGATTTAATGGGGAGACCAATTTAGGGGCCATGAATTATTTTCAAGGAATTGTGTAAATCCTAATTTATGAGAGTATTGGTTCTTATTTTTCTCAGTAGTTCTATCAGCTTTGTCACAAATGTTAGAGAACTCTGAAACTGAGGCTAGTGACTATAAAAGTGACTCCTTGGCTTTGCACATGTAAAGCTGTAGTACAGACCCAGCTTGGAAAATTATGTGGCTTTTGGGGACTTTCATGTGATTTACTGAGCTAAGGTTTCAGAAATGCTGCTCTTTTGAGTCTTCCTACACTATTTTCAGGGTAGAGTAACATCTTAAAAATAGGGTTTTGATTAAGACTTCCATTTCCTTGCATGGAAATAGGACCTCATGTTCTGTCTGCACTGTTGCATTAAATCTCTCTGAGTTAAATTCCCTTAAATTCTGTAACTTAAATCTACTCTAAATCCAGCGTCTCAGTGCTGAAGTCATGCACATTTTCCAGCTCCTCTTTCAGGGAATGTGAACTGGAGCAAACAGATGGAGCAAAGAGATGAGCAGATTTGCCAGGATTTTGAAAATAGACCTTGAAAGGGCTTTAGTATAGGAAGTAAACAGATCTAGGTGGGCAAGAATGGCACTCTTAATGTGTGAGTGATTTTTTTTTTTCTGGCTTTTTTCCCTATAAATTTTACTTTGATCTTTGAACAAGATTAGAATTCTCCTGAGTTGAAGATACGCTTGTGTGGGGAGCTTTATTTTTTAACATGTAGGGGCTCTTTCCGGCCTGAAGGCAATTTCACTCTTTTGTCATAGAGTTTAGTGAGTCTCTTGGTGCCTCCAGTCCCAAAGGAAAAATTCTAGGCAACCTGGAGGAAAGACACTAGAAAATAACAAGATGAGATATGTGTTCAATGTGGAGTTGAGAAACCCGATGTCCTCCTTGGTATCCTGTTGAACATATCTTTGTACAGATGATAAAATCAGCACTCAAACTTCTGCTGAAGTTGCTTTGTCTGAAATGATGTAGGTAGAAGTAACTTACTCAGCTCTGTGTACTCTGTGACCACCCTAGCAACATCAGTGTACTCATTTTCTAAAGCCTATTTTCCATGAGCTGTCTGTTTAGGTACTCACAATTCCAATCTGGAACACTTTTTAAAGCTAGCTTAAAGTATACACAGTAGTTGTAATCAAGAAGCATCATTTAACTGTCACTGAAGATCTGTTGCTATGCATGGAGTTACAAAGTGTTTGAATGTTAACGCCCGAATTTGAAAATCTGGGTTTGAAGGACAAGCTACGAGTGCCAAGAAGTGTATTTCTTATGTCACGGATGGCTGAGATTAATTTCTTCAAGTTGTCAAATGGTTTTATACTTGGAAAATGATGTGAGCAGCTTGGCATGTTAATGTTGAGTGGAAATTAAATATGTTTTTCTTTCCTCATAGGAACTGGAGACATTGTTGCTGTCATGATTACAGAATCAAAGGTTAAGGAGATCCTCAATTATTTGGAAAAGAATATTTCTGTCTTGATGGCAATAGCAGTGGGATCCCGTGTTCCTCCAAAAAACTTCAGTCGGGGCTCTCTAGTCTTTGTGTCAATATCATTCATTGTTTTGATGATAATTTCTTCAGCGTGGTTAATATTTTACTTCATCCAGAAGATCAGGTACACAAGTGCACGTGACAGGAATCAGGTAAGGGTACTCCCTTTCTTATCTAAACTACAGAAATTATTTTCTATGTATGGTAGCTAATAGAGAGCAAGTAATCTCTAAGGACTATCCATCAAACCAGTGTTCAAAAACATCTTTGTCCAGCAGCATTCTTTGCCTCTGAACAGGAATTTTATGCAACAAATTGTTGCTGTCCTCAGTAGCACCAATGCAAGTTCTTGCTAAATGCAACAGGAAAGAATAGAACCGAGGCAAAATATTTTAAAATAGTTTAATGACTATGAGTCAAAGGGGAAGAGGGAATCTTTGTTGGTTATTACGTGCTGTATAGCACATTACTTAGGACACTGGGAATGAGTAAGAGAGTTAAACTGTGAATGAACTTGTGTAGTGGAACAGAGAGCTAATGTTTATTTTTTTGTGGGGGAATCTTTGTTAACTGGAATGAAATGGATTAGTTAATTCCCATTAAGTCCTTATTCTATATAAATTCTATCCATGCTATAAAGGATAGCTTGAATAATAGAGTACTACACACATTGTATTGAGGCCGTATCAGACTGCACTCCCATGAAGGTTAGATTAATGAGAAATCACCCAACTAGTTTTCTTAAATTATACCTGTTTAAAGCAAGATATGGACTGTGTAATTCTGCTGGTCCTGTAACTTAAGTAATTATCATATCTAAAATGCCCTTCTTGTATTCTTTTTCACCTCTGATTTAAGAATTTGTGCATTTAAGCTAAAGAGGGGTCACCCTCAGATATCCAGAATAAATCAAGTTATCAATTCAAACATGGAATAAACCCTGGAAGTAATTTTTTCACAATGCATTAGTGTGGACTTAATGACTCACTGCCTCCATAGTATGCCTTGGCTTTTCTTGGGAAGGAACAGTAAATTTTGGGAAATCTGTGCTTTCTTTGCCTCTGTCTCTGCAACCTGTAGTCACCGACCCCCTTCCTTCGAGTTAGGTCTGAGGTGGAGGGTCCCACTGCAAGGCACAGCTTTGGGTATATCTTATTAAAGGCTACTTGTGATTATCTAAATTTTTAAAGGTTCCACTAAATATTACTTTTTCAAGCCTAAAACAAACGCCAGCTTATAAAGCCTCAGCTGTGACAAAGGATTTCCTTCCTAGTTTCTAGAAATAATGTTTGACGCTGCAGATCCCATGGGCATTTTGTCGACTTTCCTAAGAATATCATTCTTAAATGACCACATTGTAAGTGGTGCTTAGTGAGGTCCCTTGGGATGAGAAGTTTAAATATAACTGTTGCTCAGTGGATGTCTGCAGAATTCTAAATTGTGCCTGCTGCCTCCCCTGCGTGGTTCTAGGCTTCTTCAGAAGGCCCATGTTTCCAAACAGCTGCTCCATGGGAAAAGGGCTTTAATGACCTTTTTTCTTTCTTTAGATTTTTACAAAGGTCAGGAGAAACTTGATAAAAAATTTATGTGGCTTAAAAAGCTAGGCTTATTAAAGTTTAATAAGAAGGTGGCGACAGCTACAGCTTTTTCTTGAAGAGCTTTCACAGAGAAAACGCTGCACTGTTAGTGATAACCTGGTTTAAGCTGTGCTGTTTTTCAGTTATGTGTACAGGCATGTTTCCTTTAATTTTTTTTCTCCCCTTCAGAAAACAGCAAAAACATGCCGTGTTTTGTAGATAGTGCAAGGAGATACTGGTATTTCACATGGTTGCTCTTGTGCACTTCCTCCAGAGCAGAGTTATGACACTGCTTTGCTTGTAGTGGTGGCCTTTTCCATCAAGATGGCTGTGTGTTATAAAAGCAGGTTTCCTGTATCCTGATGCCCTAATTTATCAAAAGAGCAAATCTCAATCATTTCCAGTGTTAGCTAACAAGTATTTGTTAAAGTTTGAAAATTTTGCAATGGCAAAAGTGCACTTAATGTCAGTAGCATAAATGCTTTTCATTGATGTGGAATATGACACGTTCTGATAACGGGCTAGATCCCTTCATCACAAGATACCAATTTTACAAGTTTTCAAGCAAATAAATTCCTATGAAGACTAACCTGAAAACTTAGTGTGCTTCCCATGCAGCTCTAAAATGGAGGTGCTGAAGGTTATTTAGTGTATTTCTTTATGTCAGAGGACGTGTATACATTTCTGGAAGATTTTTTTAATGAATAAGTAATGCTTTCAATAAGAAGATAGTATCTGAGGTAAGATTTCTTTTTTTTGCACTGCAAATGCAAACTTATGTAGTACAGCTAAATATAAGTACTACCCACAATTATTTAGGTGCTGGTGTCAACCGTGTAAGTTAAATGCCTCACTTTCTTTTCAGTTTTGCTCTTTTTGGTTGTGCAAGGATAATCTGTTGTAGTAAAACAGCAGTGTGACAACATATTTTGTGGCATTAAGTACATAAACCGATGGGTCTATTTCAGGACATGTAATGTAGATTTGTTTAGATTGAGCAGTAACATGTCCTGAAATGGACCCAATGTAGATTTGTTTAGATTGAGCAGTATTTGCATGTGGAAATAAGGGGATGGGATTTCTGATTGCAAGAAGTGTAAAATGTCTCCATCCCCAGCGTTCCTGGTGCTCTGCTTCCTGCTTTAGTAGTTGGATCCTAGTATTTTTTTTATTCATATCCTGAAAAATGAAAGAGCCATTCTTCTATGGAAAACACCCAAAAATACTGTGCTTCTATACTCCCTGAGTACTGGTGGTGTAGTTAGTGCTCTTAACACAATATACACAGTTGTGGTGGCCTCTGATATCTTGTATGTTTTTCACATCACAGCAGCCCTGTTGGCTTCAGCTTGTATTCAGAGAAAGTGTGACACAAAGAGGGGAAAAGTAACGTAAGCTTGAAAGTTAATTCCTTCCTCTAGAGGATGTGGGCACAAAAATGTGCGTAATGTTCAGTGCTGTATGGGAGCTGAGTTTTTGCAGTTCACACACAGCGCACAGGATGAGAACTCTGCCTTATTTTCGAAGGCAGAATATTGAGGGCAAGACTGAAATGAGGGAGGAAATAAATGAACTTCCTTGTTCCAGCTGGTGTAAACCCCATCTTGCTTCTCTGGCTACTAAAACCAGGAAATAGGAACTTTGTTCTGCGAGGTTCTGTGTCCTCGGGGCCCCATGATCAGCTGCCATTCTTAACTGGCTGGCAAATGGGACACTGCAGCAAGAATTGGTACTTTAAGCACAGGAGCGGCTCCTTCCATCAATCCACCAGTGTCAGTAATTAAAAAAACAAAAATAAAATACCTTTTGCAATCAGAATGAGGTATGTTGATCTTCAAACCAGTATTAATCTCAGCTTTATTCCGGTCTTTGTTGAGTTGCTTACGTTCATGATCCATAAACGTTTTCTTTGTGAAATACTGGTGGTTTCAGGTTATAGTGAGATAGAAACTAGGTTGCACTGAGTATCTCTTATGTCGCAGAGTAAGGTCAGCCTGCCTAGGAAGGAAAAACAAATTTTAAGCTTAATAGAACAGGAATGTATTACAGAATTTTGCACAAAAAGCAAACTGAGCAGAAGATAATAGAAGTCAATGGGGAGACGTTATTTCATTTCTCCCCTGCTGGCAGAGGTTTGTTAGTTTTGTTGTGTGGGGTTTGGGCAATTTCTCTAGACTGTTTATACAGTCCATGGGGTTTATGCTCACATCTGTCGAGTGCATTCGTGGACTCTGCAGCTGGATTTTTTCCTTCCTGACAAATCCAGCTGTACCTCTGCTTTGTGCCCCTTGGGTTTTATGTGAGGCCACCATCAGAGTGTATTGCAATGTAAGTATCTAGTCTGAATAAGTCGTTGTAAAGCATAGAAATAAAGTCTGATTATCAGGGTTAATTTGTACTCTTTTCTTTATCCCTCTGTTAGCGTCGTCTTGGAGATGCTGCCAAGAAAGCCATTGGTAAACTGACAACCAGGACAGTAAAGAAAGGTGATAAGGTACAATAATAAGATTTTAACAGTCTCATATTTAATTTTTGTCAGCAGAGACAATTTTCTGCTCATTTCTTTCCTCTTCTGATTTTTGATCTTGGCTTTCTTGCTGGGAGCTCATCTTGTGGTGCAGTATTTAGTGTGACCTGTGGTGTTTATGTATGCTATAAGTCTGTGCGTTTCAAATAAGTTTTCCTTGCTTAAAGACTTGTTGCAGTCTAGCTGGCAACTGTAATGGGGAGCAGTTTTGCATGCTCTCTAGGTAGGACTTCTTGCTGGTAAGAGTACCCAGGGCTAGTGGTGTTTGTGGAACTCTGAGCTTAGGATCATTTTCAGCTCTGCCTGAGAAAGATGGTATTGCTGAAAGTGAGAAGCAGTCAAAATACTGCACTAGTCTTAGCTATAAAAAAGGAATCCCAGCATAAAAACTTATCCCAGCTTGTATAAAATGCATGGTTTTGCTCCAAACTGTAGTAAATCCTCAAGGAAGATTGCTACTGTATTTTCTAGTGAATCAACTGACTGTTATAACACTCAGTGTAATTTAAATTTCAAACAGTTGGTTACCAGCTCCAAATGGGAGGAATGCATTTTTATGCGTGAGGTTTTGGGGGTAAGGGGAATGTTTCCAAGTTATGTTGGAACACAACCCAGTCGTCGTTTTTGCATCTTTCTAGTAATAGCCACTCTGTCACAACGCAATTCACGTGCTAATCAAAACTGCATTTACCTAAATTGTAGCCTAAACTCTTGACTTTAATTTCCATTCTGTTCATTTTAGGAAACAGACCCAGACTTTGATCATTGCGCTGTCTGCATTGAGAGTTACAAGCAGAACGACGTTGTCCGCATTTTACCATGCAAGTAAGCTAGTAAAGTTGCTTTGTTTAGAAACAATTTTCTTCGTGCTCCTTTGCTTCGTTCTGTGCAAAATGTGCTTTGCAATTTACAAACACATTTGTTAGATGCTTCCAACCCTAATATTAGTCATTTATCTTAGACTGTCTACAATACCAGAAGGTGTGAAGGTGGCTGCTGGCACAGTTATGGACAGTGAAGGATTTATTTTTCTTTTTTTAAAAAAAAAAAAAAATCTTCAAAAACTGGCAGTTTTGGCATATGAGCAGTGGGAAGCTATTACGATTGTAATGGGGAGAGATTTAAAGACTGAATAGTGGCCAGACACAATAAACATAATTATAATGAACTAGATAACAGCTACAACATTCCGCACAGCGGATGTGCAGCATCTTGTTATACTGTTTCAGAAACCCACAGTCAAAGAAATGTGATGCTGCCAGCCCTCACACCCCCTCTGACATCAAGCACTGCGCTCCATGTTAGGGTTCTCCAGTGCCCCAAGCTCTTGGCCTGTGCTGGGGTATCCTACCTCAGTGCTTAAAATGTAACAGCTTCTTCCTTGCTCTGCACCATTCTCTTGACATGAGCTGTTGCTTTGTTTCCATTTCACTTCATTCTGGAGTTTTCTGTGATACTGCCACTTTCGGGATGCTCATTTGAGTGGTTTTCTACCTGATGATTTGGTTTTTTGGGAAGTCAGTAATTCTTAGCAACTGTATGCATTACCCAGCACTTCTGGCCCTTTTATTCTGAAGTACAAAATTTTCTTCTTATGTCCATATACAAATGAGTTCTGTTACATATATATATGTGCATACACACACACACATAGCCAAGATGCAGTAACTTGGCCTGTGCTTAGTATATAAATAGTGTTGTGCATGATAGTCTAGAAGCACCTAAGTGGCAGCGTTGGAGTTGAGCTTCAGTCACGCAGCAGCAGCACCTGGCAGCTCGTTATCAGTCCTCTGCCTCCTGCAAGCTGCTCTGAATAGCTGGAATATTTCGGTCCTAATGCTTAAAGAACTTCTATTATAATAAAGAAAAGACTAGTTTATATACTATCGATCAAAATATGATGCATTGGGTAGGTGTTGACTATTGAAGCTGTGCAGTTAATTCAATTTACATTTCCCTGTTTTCTTTACACCTTGGGCAGTGGGAAGCAGTGAACTGTTTTAGGTGCTCGGTGTTGTGCTTGATTAATATAACCTGCAAATGATTGTTTAGAAATATTCGGAGAAGAGCTGTAAAGCTTTGGTCAAACAGATGTAGGTCCATTTCTTTTTTCTTTTTTTTTTTTTTTTTTTTTTAACAATTCAATTGTTTTTACTCATTCAAAGATGATGTTTTCTTGCCCCATAAAAATATTATTCCGAACACAAAAGACATTTAAGAGTTACGTTGCATGTTGTATTATTGGGTAAAGGTACTGTGTGAATTCAAGCTGTAGTGTTTGGTTTGTGAGTATTATCTGGAAATTGAGAAATTTCTGGAACAGTAATTTTGAGCCATGAAGCTGACTGATAAAAAGCTTCACTTCTGTAATTCAGGGTGACACTGAATCTCAATGCATGAAATGGGTGTTCACAAATCCTCTTCCTCTGTGCCTTTCTGATACTGAATCCCTCTCTTGATCTTTTCAGTCCCCCTTAGTCACACTATTATTTATTGAACTGGGTTATTGCAAGGAGAGGTAAGGTTCAAAAGCCAGCTGTAGCAGAGCACTAGCTGGGTGGTGACCATCTGGGCACTGGCTAGCAGTCACTGGAAGGGCTGCCTTCTGGAGAAGTCCTAAACAGATACTGCTACAGGTGAGAAAACTATGTGCAAGAGAACCCCTGAGCCCCCCATAAACTGTTTTTGATCAGTTTGTGCAGCAGCACTGAACACTTTGTGAGCCACAGTCCTGCAGACAGTAGCTCCCCGCTCTTGGGGTCAGGTACAGCTGCTTCATGGAGCTGCATGAAGGTTCACCTGGGTGCTCTCTCAGCACAGCATCCTCTCCATGTATGGGGAAAACAAGCCACTTCTGTAGATCCTTTCTGTTCTGCTTTTTACAAGAGTATAAGGTCACCAAAGGCTCCGATTACATTCTTGCCAAAGGCTGTTTGAAGACTTTTGTGTTCATGTTCTACTTCCCTTTTTGTAATCTCACCGTGTGTTGCAGTTCAGCTTTGCTGAGAGCAGAAACGTCTTGGTTAGGCAGGAATGGTGAGGTGGATGGCTTCTACAGGACGTCACACTTGGAGCATGTGCCACTGGGCCAGCCAGTCTCCGCAGAGATGAACCCAATAAACTGTAGACTGCATGTAAAACTGGTCAGTCTGCTGAGAAGCAGCTTCCCTAATCTTGTTTTGGAGATTTGCTCCCTTCCTACTTCCTTGCTTTCCAAACCTTACATTCAAGCACGACATGCAAAGCTAGTGACAATGACATCTACGAGACAGTCTCTAAGACAGGTTTGAGAAAATCGATTGCAAGAAACCGTGGGGAAAAAGCCTTGACCAAGAGGAGGCAAATGAAAGGCTAGGAGTGTGTCTAACTGGGCTTTTGGAGGAAGTTGTCATTAGACAGTAGGAATCACTGACAGACAGGATCCTTGCTGATTTCTTCAGTGTGAAAGTAGCATTTTCCCCTGCTGGCTACCAGGATCGTTGGGCCCAGTTGATAGCCTGGCACTGTGTGCTTTTGTAGAGAGGAGTCCAGCTCACACAGGCATACGGGGCCATCCCAAAACATCCCAAAAACCTGGACCTAAATTCTGTATCAGAACATCGTATTTGTGATGGGGAGTGTTTTGGCAGGTGAGAAATTGTGACAAATTAAAAAAAAAAAAAGGCAAGAAATGCAGTTAAATCTGTATCATTCATATTGTACCACAGAGGTAGAGATATGTCCAATGCTGCAACTTACAGGCAACACCTGCGTGCTGCTTTTGGTACACAGAAGGGATAAAAGTCCTCTCTATTCCTAGCACAGACAAAAGGGGTCATTTTCAGCCTTACAAGCCCAAGAAACACTTTTTGTGTGTGAATGTCATAGAATAAAAGTTTAAAAATAAGAAGCATAAGCAAATGCCAGAAGGATGCTAACAAAAGAGAAGCCTCATGGATGATTTTCTTCATTCAGAGGGAGTTTTACTTTACCATGCAGTGTAAATGAATGGGAACTGTGTGAAAAGTGATCAGGAAAGAGGTGGTGTGCAGGAAAGATGATGACTGAGAGAAAAGGCAGGGGGGAGCAAAGTGACAGGAGAAAAGCGTGGGGAATGACATTGGAAGGGCAAAAGGCTGGCCTGGGAAGGAGGGAATCCATTAGGCAGAAAGAATTAAAGGAGTAGCAGACATTTGAGAAAGAAAGAAGCAATTGGGCAGGGAAGATGGATGTAAAAGGACATTATGCAGGGCTAAACTATGTTATATATGTTCCAAGCCAAATGTTCATATTTTCTGGTAGTGGGCAAAAAGGGAGAAAATGGTGAAAATGACTAAATGATTTTATTCCATGCTGCTGTAAATAGCAGCTTGTTTTATCTTTTTCAAAAAAGAGTCGATTAACCCCCAGTTTCAGAGCCAGCCTCTCCTGTCCCTGCAGTGCCTCTGCACCCCTGTTTCTGCGGCTCCCGGTTAGGCGGCAGCGTCTCCCTCTGCCCCGGCAATAGGATTGGCGGGAGGAAGGGAAGCTGCTGTGTCCCGGCGTTCCTGCCGGGAGGAGGAGGGCACCGGGCGCTGCCGCTCGGATCCGCAGGCTGCAGAGGGCCGTAAGTGTCCGTGCGACCAAGGGTTGTGCCGCAGGCAGAGCTGCTGCCCTGGGAGAGCGGGTAAGGTAGCGCCTTCTGTAGCCCTCATGAACATGTTTGAACCCTTCCCCTCTGCTCCGTGCTGCTTTGGAGCCGTTGCAGCCCCACACGGGTGACCTGAGCTCCCTCCGCAGCGCTGCGGAGTTGCCCCGTGCGCAGCGGTCACGGTGCCGGTTACCTGCTGGAGGCCGCTAGGCCTGGGCGTGCTGACGGAGCGGAAAAACCCGTGCGGGTCACCTGCCTGGCGCCGTGCCCACGCGGGGACTCCCGCAGTGCCACCAGCCCCGCTGCTGGCCTTGGGTCCTCCCGCCCTGCGAGGGCAGGGCCGCGAAACCTGCATCCCGCTTGGCTCCCTGGTGTCCCCGTCCTCAGGGAGCTTGGTCGTCCGCTGAGACCTAGAGCTGATCCCCAGGTGCTCCTCAGATTGACAGTTTTAGAAAGCTTATTATTGAACAAATGCCAGAAATACGAAGGTGGAGAAAGTTTACAACAGAAAATGCAAGGGCTTGCTTTGTCAGCCTGAGTTTTAAAAGCAATTCATGTGTTTATCATCATCATTGCTTTAAACTGCTGCTTTACTCTTGGAAACACGAATCCAAATGGAGCCTGAGCCCTCATGGTGGTATCAGCAAGTGTTTTAAGGAGCAGAAAAACAGCATAAATAGTACAGAGCCATGCTGATTTAAATCAATATATAACCTTTGGGGAACTGTACTTTTTAAAGCACATCACTAAACATCCATGGAGGTTTAGGAATTGAAAGCAAAGAACGATGAGGTCAAAAAAATAGTTGAGCTGTTCTGGTGCATTTGAACTGTATGAAACTGCTAACGACTCTTTAAAATAATTCATAATATTTAGCTGATGCATGTAGGAATCCATATCAATAGGCTGCTTCACTTGACCCGAGTGCTTTTACAGTAGTCAGCACTGATTAGTTGATAATAACGTATTAAAGCTGTTCTCATACTTCTTTGGAGTCTTGATGTCTGCTCTTTCACAAAATATTAGATTTTTCACGTTTGCCCTACTCTAAACAGACCTCAGAATCTTAAAAGGCAACTAAAAGCTGTAATTTGTCTAACAGAACAATAGCATCATTATACCGATCAGTAGACTTCAAACATTTTTTTTTTTTATCACCAGAGGAGTTTTAAATGTTGTTTTCTGTAGTTTTGTGAGCAGTAAAATGAGTGCGATAAGAATCAATGCTAGAAATAGGTCTACATTTTGTACACTTATTTCGGCAGTAAGCAGGGTTCATATCTTGTTTTTCATCGCTTGTTACCCTGCTGCTAAAGCAGACTGTCCAGGAAAGTGGCTAAATGAGATTTTTAAATTTGCTTAACAAAGCAGTCTGGCGCACAGTCGTGCACCGTGTAGTGCAGAGAGCTTTGCTTTCTGTGCCGCGTAGCAGGAACACTGCTCTCTTCTGAAAAGTGGCAGTAGAAACACATGAAATCCTGTTATGCTGCTCTGTGATTACAGCTTCAGCTCCTTGGCCGGTACCAAGTTTCCATTCCTGCACATTCAGTCTGGGATAGAGATAAGGAAAGCTCCTTCCCTCCCTGTACATCTTCTGTTGCTTGCACTGTGCTCTTTCAGTCTTGGTAGCCATAGACCAAAAAAAAAAAAAAAAAAAAAGGTATTATTTCATTGCGTGTTTATTCACAGTTTTAGGAGGCCTATCTCCTAAGTGACTTTCTGGAGACTTAAAAGCAAATTATCTGGTAACATGCCTTGTTCAGTCTCTTCTTTTAAAGTCATGTGGGATAGAGAGGGAAAGTCCCAGAGTCCCAGGTGAGTTTATTGAGGGACAGAGCAGCACATACAACCTGGGAGCAGAGGGGAGATAGGGCTCCCCTCCTAGATAGAGCTCTAGAGATTTGTGCTAGGGGATGTGTGTGACCTCTTGCAGGCTGTGCTGATGCCTCAGGTAGGTGAAAACACCTTGTTCTGCCACTGCCCTTTTGGCTGTTCATTTTAGAGCAAGGCTGTTTGCAGGCTGAGCAGCCCTGCTGCTTGTTGGTCTTTGTCATGATCCCTGCTCTGTGGTGTTCAGGTACAGCTGCTGCTTTTGGTTCCACGAGGTTCTGGAGCCGGTGCTGCTGGAAATGGAGGATCTGTATTCCTGCCGTGGGCAGTCAGTCAGCTTTGGTTATTCTGCTAAATCTCTGTCATGTAGAAAGTCTAGTGAGACCCATTTCTGCCTTGAAAATAAATGTTTTAAATTAGTTCTTTGCCTGAAAAGCTGGGAGAATAAATCCGTTCCTTTAGTTTAGATATGTTGTTACAGTCCCTGCATACTCTTTTCTTGTTGTTTTGGTTTATATCAATTCACCACTGTTAGATTTGTATTCACAGGACTAAAAGATTTTGTAAGCCACATAGGTGGCAATTCAAACCGTTCACCAGGACGGAGCTCCCTGCTGCGAAAGTAGGAGCCTGTTTTGCTTTCTCATCTTTGAAAGGCTTTTGCTTTTGTGTGACCATCATATGATAATAGACACGTTTTCTTTCCAGATACTAAGAAATACTGACTGTAGAAAAAGCCTTTTAAAATGTTGTCTCTTCCTTTCCTTCACATGTGCTTGTTGTAAAGGCCCTTACAAAATCAAGCGCAAGTTTATCCAGTTTACCTTTTAAATTTGTAAATAGGCTGATTTTCAGTAGAATTAATTTCTGATGCATCTGTGCTCTTTCCACCTGATTTATGATCAGGTTCTTAACAGAAATTGAGGCAAGGCTTCACACGGTGTTATGGTGGGGACTTTACGTTGCCCTTTTTATCCTGTCCGTATGCCTACTCATATGCACAAAAAAAAGGCAAAAAAAAAAAAAAAAAAAAAAAGGAATTATTAGTAACTTTGTTTTTGTTGAAGTCGGCACAAAACACTGACAATTTTTGAATTTGTTTACCTAGTTAAGAAAGCAACCGCTTAAAAGCTTGTTGAAATAGCTCTCATGTGGCTTGCCCTCTACCTTATGTAATATGTCGTGGCTGTTCTTCTAGGCATGTTTTCCACAAAGCTTGTGTGGATCCGTGGCTTAGTGAGCACTGTACGTGTCCCATGTGTAAGCTGAACATCTTGAAGGCCCTGGGAATTGTGGTAAGTAACACTGTAATGAGGAAAGAATGCTTACTTGGTTACTTTTTCTTTCTAAATCTCTTGTTGTGGTCTCCTCTAGATGCTCTCAAATCCCTTTATACAGTAAATGCTGTGCCCAAAGCTGCACCAAGTGCAGTAGTTGCATTTTCCTTGTGTGTAGAGCAGCTCATGGCTTAGGGGGCTTCTCAGGGCTGGTTTTATTGATGGGTCCCCAAGGGGAGAAGGGCCTCAAAGTTGATTTTACTGTTTTTCCCATATGAGGGGAAAGCTCTGAGCATGGGCATGATGCTGCTCTCGAAAGAAGGAAATAAGGGAGAAAGAGGAGAGTATGTGAAGATATTTATTAGTGGCAACTGGAGAGTTTTGCCCTGACTAAAGCATTTTGAACTGAGCACGATGAGAGAATTAATAATCAGGCCTCCATTTCTAGCTGTATCAATTTAAAAGTTGCAGAGTTTCTTAGAAAAAAAAAATAGTTGCAGACATTGTGGCTAAGCTATTTCTGCAATTAAAACCATACCATGAATTTTTAGAGAAGGAGACAGTAGATGTTGGTGCATGTTATGCAAGACCTTCCTACTGTGGGAAGAGAGCTCAAAGAGAGGAAACTTGGTAACTTCTCACAGTAGTAAACGATACAGACATGCACTGGCTATCACGGAAGCACGTTCGAGTCCCTTTCCTGAGTCTTAATCCTATTTCTTGCTTCTTCCTTCACAATGAAGTTAACTTGACTGAAGAGACAACTTTGTGATTGCCAAATCGCACGTGTTTCCTCTACGATCTGAGGAGTCTCAACATCTGAATAAAATGTGCACGTGTGGTTTTATTCAGTTTACATGATTCCTCCATGCCAAACGTTCGCCATTTTCATGCGGAACCGCTTGCTTTTTCAGCCAAACGTGCCATGTACAGACAACGTAGCCTTCGACATGGAAAGGCTCACGAGGGGCCAGCCCCCAGCCCGGCGAGCGGCTCTTGGTGACTTTGCCAACGACAGCTCCCTCAGCCTGGAGCCCCTGCGCACCTCCGGGATGTCACAGCTTCCCCAGGACGGGGAGCTCACCCCAAGGTCAGGAGAGATCAACATTGCCGTGACAAGTAAGTTTTCCTTGGCTTCCCTTACAGTTCTCTGGGTTTTCTGGTATGTGGCACTTGCTTTGGTTTTGTGCTGCAGGGCAGTGGTAAAAGGTTTTCTTGCAGAGACGAAGGTGACCTCAGTGTCTCTGCGAGAAGCCTGTGCTCCACTTTGAAACTGATAACTCTAGGTACAACAGTGCCAGCAGTTCCATTATTGATAGGATATCCATTTAGATCCACGTACAAAGAACACTGGGTGAACTAAAAAAACTGTAAAATAAACCTCCTGAATTTGGTAACCAGTATGAGAAGCTGAATTGTCACAAACAGTACTCTTCTAGAATATTTTATGTGCAATAACTTATGCATGCATAAATATTTTAGCCGGTTAATATTTCTGCAAGAATTTTCCCCCTGAGATTGTTACTGCTGGAGATCTGGTGTCCCTCAGCTGATGTTTTTTCTCTTTTTCTAAATTTGTGAATGTAAAAAGCATCTGATGTACCAACAGTTCTGAGTATTTTCCAAGTGTTTTGTGACATCAGAAATTTGGTTCTGCACTGTTTTCAAGCTCTTATCCAAAAAAGCAACATGAGAAGTTTCCCCAGCATAGATTTTTACCCGATATTTTTAATGTATAAGAAATCCTATAGCGAATACAGTACGTGTGGAATTTCATTGTATTCTAAATGCTATAGACTCTCAATTTGATGCATGAACAGTTGTTTTTTTCTGGCTGAAATACAAAAATAGAATTCTCCTTGTATTTTCCTTGTGTATCTATAATCTAAATTTGAAGTCTTATCACTGTCACCTACATATATATATATACACACTATATATAGCAGTGTTACTGATGTAGTCCATTACATAGTGTTTATTTAGGCACAGGAATAAAATTAACGCATCATTTAAACAAAAAACACTTTCTTACGGACATGGACTGTGTGTTGTAAGTGTCCTGGTTTGAGGTGGAAAAATCCAAACGCAGAATGTAGATCCTTTGCAAAACCGGTAAGTCGCTGTCATTGCTGCTTTTCCAGTACTATTAAAAAACCCAGACAAATCAGCTGCTGTGCTGCTTGCTCTGGCACTGGGGAGGGATCACTGCGTAGTTTCAGTCAGGCTCTATGACCACCTGGTTTTACAGAAGGTTCCTTTACTGCGTGTTCCCAATTGTTGCACTTCTCTTGCACAGATGGGATGCCAGGGTAAAACAAGAAATATCAGCAACAGTTCATTCTGACAATGTTTATAAAATAAAGCTGTAGAAAAGGCTGTTCAAATGTTTGGATTTTATGGATGGCACGTGCATTCTTTGATGCATATGATTTAAACCAAAAGCCATATATTGCAAAAGAGTGTTTGTATTCCAGTCTATTACTATGTGCCAAACTGATCCTGAGAGTATAACACTTTAAACAGTGAACATTCTTTAATACCATTAGTTATGTTTCTTCTTTGTTTATTTATTAAGTGTCTGTATTTATACACTAACACTGAAATGACTCTTTCCATGTTGTATTTCTGTCTATAAAGCACAAAACTTTATGCTTCGCTGTTGACTAAGCGGTCCTGTCTTTTGTTTTAGAATAACACTACTGCATTTGTTCAGGGAGTTAGGGGGCAAAGACACAAATAAATTTAAAAGCATGAAAATACCTTGGATGTGAAGAGACACATCTTGGCAAACCCAAACCAGCCGTGACAGTCGTGTCTCTGACTTGGGGCCGGGCTGAGTCCTCGTGATGTTCTCCCTCGTTTCTGCATTTCTCTTGATATTGCTAAGCAGCCTGTGTCTCTTGCTAACCTTTGGGCTCAGCCAGGAAATGCTGTTTTGCCACGTGTTTTTTCTGCTCCTCTCTCCACTTCTTTGCTAGCCTCCTCCAGGCAGTAACTCTGTGGCTAACCTCCTCCTGCTTCACTTGCTGGTGTGCCAGTCATGGCTTAGAAACCTCTTGTCTTCCGCCAGTGCTGTTTGATTGGAAAATTGGCATCGCTTTGACATAAGCCTTCTCCCACGAGTGATTTCCTCCCTTTCCTTTGTCAACAGAAGAATGGTTTATTATTGCCAGTTTTGGCCTCCTCAGTGCCCTCACACTCTGCTACATGATCATCAAAGCCACAGCTAGCTTGAATGCTAATGAGTAAGTAAATACTCAGATGTTTCTATATATTTCTGGGATGCGTGTCATAGCATTAGGAAGAGATACTGAGCAAACAGAAAGCAAAAATGCAGTAGTTCTGCTTTTCTCAAATGTTAGTCTGTCACTAATAACAGTAGGCTCTAGGATAATATTGGAACTCTTAATTTCTGTGTAGCTGGATTGTATGAGGAAATCTCCCTGCAACATGGAGGAGTGAAAAAGGGAAGAGTGACAATATTCATACTCATTTTTGATCAATGATCTCAGTGGAAGTTAGGTTTATGCCATTAATCTTCATGAAGTTCACTTGATAGACTCAGAAGTTACTACTCCTACCTATGACAGTTTCCATCTCATTTCTCAGCCAAGTTTTTTGTTAAAATAAAAGAGCATTTAAATAGAAAACTAATATTTTACTCTAGGAAAGGAAGACAGGCAAGCAGCGAATATGCTGCTGCTGCTTGTCTCTAAGTGGATAGAGCAGACCAATCTCCTGACCTTTCATTTTAATGTGCTATAAGAGCTGCAGTCAGAGTACTTAAAGACATTCCCATGTTCTTAATTTTGATGGACCATTTCCCTCCCCTGCCTCTCTGCAGACAGGCTGGGCAAGAAACGACTCCAGCACCGGCCTCTTGTCGTCTTTTTATAGTTACGTGATCTGTTTTGCAGATGGCTTAACTAGGTACATCCCGTTGTTTTCAGATTAGGTGCCCAGAATGTCTGGGATAATTATATATATTCAATTTGAAGTTATTTATTTGGGGAGGGGAAGTGTGAACATTTTTTTTCTCTGAATGTCTTGACACAGCTGAGGTGGCATTAACTGTGCTGATCTCCTACCAGAGCAACGTGAGATTCAAAGACAGTCTCTCCTGAGCAGCTCGAAGATGTAGTTTTTATAAACATACCTTTTTTGTTGTTGTTATTATAAAGGAAAGAAACTTTTTTTTGGACTGTTGTTTAGGGTAAAGTTTAGTTTAGGGTAAAAGTTTAGACAGTCTTCAGCTCATCTTCAGGAAGGGGATAACTAAAGCTTCTCAGAACTTATCATGAACCTTTAATTATCACTAATCTGCAAGTTTTCCTTTCCTGTCTTGCCAGCCAATTCCAAAAGGAGCATAATGACAAAAGCTTTAAAGCTTCAAATGGCCCTATCAAGTCCTCTTTTTTTAATTATTATTTTTTTAATCTTGAACTTGCAGCTCATTATTGGCAACATGATAGCTGTAGCTTAGCACAGCTAACCTGCCCCTGAAAAATAGCCTGGGAGAGCATGGAGCAAGGCGAGGTGTGAGATGTGAACTCTTCTTTTTGTTGTCCTGATGTTCCTCAGTTGGCTCTGGCTCTATTTGTGTGGAAAGGGCAAGGTTCTTCTCATTGGCAGAGATTTAGGGCCTCCAGAGAAGGACTTTCCGAAAGACGTTCCCTTAGGAACGTCCTGACAGGACACACTGATTTATTGTGAGCTACTTTCACCAGTGACAGGACTGAAAATTTGAGCATATACAAATGTGCACTTCGAGGCAACCCGAGCTGTCAAAAATTGCTGCTGTAGGTAAGTGAGGTACCCAGCTGCATCCTGGAACTTCCAGGGCTTTTCACCCGGATCTGCAGGAAGCCAAGCAGCCTCCACAACTGCTGCTCACTAGACTGCTCATTTTAGATAGCTTAAAAAGTATGTGCACTGGCCACAAATTTTGGGATTTATTGTTTCACTGACACCCTGTGTTTCAAAATGCAAGACAGGAAGCTTTTGCTATGCAGGTTATGCCGAATACAAGGCAGCACTCTCTTTCTGTGACTTCCATTAAATATAATTATAGCATACGTGCTTCTTATGCTGTCCTCCTTCATATAAAAGCAATGCTGATATACACTCATGTATCTCGTACAGTAGTGCTTCGAGAGGAAGGTTTTCTTCTTCTTTCCACATCAGAAGACAAAAGTAGCAGAAATGAGGCTGTGTAGGGTACAGGTGCAAGGGAAAGGTGCCAAATAGTCTACAATGAAACTCTTCCCAAGAACATGCCCTGATGCTTTTTTTTTTCTTGTTTGCCCTTCCCACAGCTTAAACACATTTGTTTAGAGTAATAGTTCTGCAATTGTGCTTACATGTGTACAAAAATACCTACTTTTAAATAGATCCTGATAAAACCTAAGCGTAGCCTAAGAGATGAGAAAACAAGGCTTTCTCCTGATCTCATAATATCCAGGGCTCAGCAGTCAGAACTGCTCTGACATCGCAGCTCCTACCATTGAATAATTTAGGTAGAGATTTAAATATATTCTTAAAAAGCCCTAGGGGATTTTTAGGGAAAGGCCACGTATGACTACATAACTATTTTAAAGTCCAAAAAAACCCAGACATTGGATAGCACCACTTAGATATTTTTTTCAGTAGCAGATGTTTTTTCCTCAAAAAAGCCCTCAAACTTCTGTCAGTCTCATCTGTTTTACTCATCCTGTAAGAACGATGTCAGGAGAGTACAGACCTCTTTTACTGCTCTAGCCCTGTAGACTCATTTTTCACTAATTTACTTTGTACAGGATTTTTGAGTATTAGCAGTATTAACTTTATAAATATTTTGTCCCTTTTCTTCTGCCCCACAGAGCAGAATGGTATTGAAGAACCTTCGCTTTCCGGCCGATTGCCTTGGAGAGAGACACCTATTTTTATGCATCATTTATCGATCATGCAGCACAGGCGTTATTTAGTACATTCTATTTTTTCATAAATTTTGCTGATGCCAAAGCTTTGTACTAAGGAAAAAGTGAAGAAATAAAAACTTCAATTATGAAATGTTATTCTGTGAGGGTTTTTTTTTTGCCATTTATGATGCCACCCAGCACTGGCATGACTAATGAGAGTGCTATTAGCAATTATTTCCTACCAGCTCGTTGGGCAGATAGGTGAGCCAAATGTTTTCGTGTGTAATGGCCTTGCTTTGACACTTGCTCAGAACTAATTTACAGTAACATTCCCTCTGCTTCTCCTCCTGTAACACTTGTGTGCTGCACCGGGAGGATTGCAGGGTGATTTTTGCCCTCAGGTCAGTGATTGCTGGGGTTTGCAGCACTGTTTTGCCTCTGGTCTTTCCTTTCCACCCCACCCCTTTTTCTGCTAAGAGTGAAGCTAATCTGAAACCACTTCTTCCTTCCTAATACAAGTGAAAAGGTGGCATTTCCTTCCCCTGTCATCTGTGGAACCTCTTTAGTGAGAGGGAGAGCTAGTTTTGTTCATCTTTAGATCATGGAGGATTGATAATGGTCTTTAAGGTAATATAGAAAACCTGTGCAAACATGTCCCTTCTTGCTATGTGTGGTTTTGTTGGGTTTGGGTTTTTTTGCTGTTGAGAAGGCAAAGGGAAAAAAAATCTCTCATCTGTTATACTCATTTAGACTGTTTTGCACAAGTTTACTTATGCAAGCACTGTATGAGTAATTTCACAACAATCAGTTGCAACATGTAGATTTGATTTGCAGCCAACCACTGCAGTTTGAATTAATGAGCTGGGTAGGTGAAGGTAACAAATTGGCAAGGAAAATAATTACAATTGATAGAAGTCAAAATGTGGTCTGTGTTTGTTGCTGTATCTGGGGTGTAATGCTTTCTGCTTTAGTTAAATGAATGGAAATAACTAATTTTACTGTAAGATTTAATTTTTTTTTAGTGTACTGGGAAATAGAGATTTTAATTTTATTTTTATATATAGGCAGTTCTGGAATTTAGGAACGAAGCCAGAGTCTACATTAAAATAGTTGCTTAATTCTTATCTATCCAACAGGCTTCAGCTGAGAAGGCAGCTTTTATAATTAGAAATGAAGTATGTGGTTGCTTTGGTGCAGTTAATAGAATTATTTTTCATTGTGTCCTTGTGAAGTTTTGCAAGAAGCAGGAACACAATCAATAGAGCAGCAAGGATGGAAAACCCCTATTGGACTTTTCCATGAATAGAAAAGCCTCAAACATACTGTGCTTCAAGACTGTCTCCTTGTAAGACCTGGTGTTTAGCACTGAACGTTGTTGCCAGAATGGATGATTGAGGTTAGAGCATGGCTTCACAGCCTGCGAAATAACAGGCTTGCATTTTTTTGCATGCACTTCCATGTTAAGAAAAAAGCAGGTGGTATTTTATGGGTTAATCACGGGTCAGGCTAACAATACAAGTTTATCTTGCTGATAAATATATTCAAAGACGGACTTGGTGCTATCCCACAAAAGTGAATGACTTTTTGGCTCTGAATCGAAGCAAAAAGGAAATTCACAGGTTTTGTTGTCTACCTTGCTTTACTCCTGCAGCACAATCATAATAATGAATGGAGAGGAAAACGGCTGCTCCCTTTTTGCAGGTGCTACGAAAGCAGCAGGACTGAGGAGGTGGACTAGTCTAACACAGTATCTGCTACTAATGCACCTGCAGAGCTAGTCTAACACAGTATCTGCAGTATCTGCTACTAATGCACCTGCAGAAAGGCTCTGTCTTTTCAATTTTTGGCCTTTATTTTGTGGCCATTTCTGTAGCATCCTAAGATAGCTATAGGGATAAATTCCAGGTTAGTAGGTTTGTTTTTAAACTCAATGCAATTTATCTGGAAAGTTCACCATAAGTACATAATAGAAAAGAATGGCAGAGAGGACTGAAGTATTAATTTTGATTTATTAAGACTAACAGCAGATTTCCTATTTGTTTTCTGTACCTAAGGGATAAATCTTACTTGTTCTTGGCAGCTGCAAAAGATTCATAAGCAGAATTTGGAACTGGAAATGCTTCTGCTTATTCTTAAAATACACTTTATTCAGTGGATTTATAAACCAGACTGATGCCATAGCTTCAAACAAGTGCTAGCAGTTTTCTGCATTCAAAGAAAAAAATAAACCACACCAGGCAAGATGCCAGTGACTTCTTTAAGTATTTAAACTAGCCAAGGGTTTTTGCAGAGGGGAGGCAGCCTGAACTCTATTTTTTAAGCTCCGGGGCCTTCCAGGCAGGATAGCAGAGACTGGGTAGTTTTGGCTCTTGGTGTAATGGTCCCTATTGGAGTATTCCTGCAGGTTCTCTTCCAGATTCTGGCTATTAGACTGGAGTAGCAGAGTCACTTTGCCCAGCTGACTGCTTCACTGTCTACAAAATACGGATAATGATCCCGACCTGGTTATTAGAGCAGCTGCAGATCGAGCGATGAAGAGCGCCGAATAACAGCTGGGTTTTTAGTTTGGAGCGGGCTGTGTTGAATCGCTGCCTTGACGCGCGAGTTCCCGGGTTTTTCCAGTCTGCTCTTGGCCTCCTCGCGAGGCTCCCTTGGACTCCTCTGGAAGCGGATTCCAGCTCGCAGGGGATTAGTAATACTCTGCCAGGGGGCTTTTCCATGGGACTTGGCAAAATCTGGCTGAACATTAAAAAAAGAAGCTCTGATTTAACAAACTAAGGAAAGTGTTCTTTTTTGGTGTTTTTTCGGCTAGTAAAAACGGGTAGATTCTTTACTTTCCTTTTTTTTTTTTTTAATGTCTTTAGAGTGTGGTCTAGTATGTAGGAATAATCTGTGAAAAAGGCTGCTTGATCCAGGTGCTTAAAAAGGGCATGAATGATTTGCCTCAGCAGTGGTGGAAATGCAAAGCGTTTGCATAAAAACACGCAGTTTCCCTGCTGGAAATGTGTGGGTTACATCTTTTTTTTAATAAAGAAGCAATAAAACATCATATCCAGTGCTATCGGATATGCCGGAGCGCATGTTTTTGGATTAATTTAAAAAATTCCTTGTCAGATGAGCTGTCTGCCTGTTGATGAAATCTCTCCCTTGAATGTGCTGGAGTGGAAGTTTCCATGCGCAGAGGAAGTGACCGCCAGGAAACGACTGCCTGGGCTGTCTACTTCCTAATCCCTGTTTGATTTTTGTGCAATAAAAACAAATAAAAGCCGCGCTGAGCTTTCCGAATCCCTTTTGTTCTGCTTCAGCATTGGTTGTGCAGTGTGTAACACTGCAGCGGGTTAGAGAAGGGAGAGGAAATGTTCAACGTCCATGGGTTTAATTGAAGAGCGAGCTGAGACTCGGTCATTGCAAATTCAGTAACACGAAGTGCAGAACAATTCTGAAATTTGTTCTAATCCTGTCAGTTCCAGAGTAGGTGAACTCAGTGTGGAGCTTACATTTGTTTGAAGGCAGATGATAATTTGTCCAAAGTCATGGTTCCAAGTAATAACATTCCAAAAAAACACTGTGTTTTTATCTCGGGCTCTTTGTGCATGGTGCATGAGCAGAAGGGTCCGTATATTCCACCACAGGCATTTCCATCCTTACTCTGGGCTCCGCGCAGCGCTCAGCGAGCAGCTCGCTCCTGTGCAAGGTCACTGCTCCTTTCCCCACTGCTATTCCAGCGTTTAAAGGATCATAAATGAAATTGTTTTGCTGCTGAGAAGCTTCCCCCTTGCAGCGAGCTCGGTTTGCATTCCAGCTCCTGGTGCTGGAGGCAGAGGTTTGGGGTAGGAGATGGCGTAGGTGATCTTGCAGCGCCTCGTTTGCCGCCTGCAGGGCTTCTGCCCCTTTGGCCAGCACTCTGATAAAGGCAAAATTCATCCTCGCTGCTGCTCTTACAGCACCTCCTCCTGAGGAGGATGCTTTTTCTCAGCCCGTGTCTCTTGGGCGCGTGGGGAAGAGCCTAAGTGTTCAGTGTAATAGCGGCTGAGCTGGCCCTCTCATAAGCTCTTAATTTAGAACGCTAAAGGCTGGGCTCAAAACTTGGCCAATAAGGAGGATTTAAGCACCGAGAACACTATAGGCTGGGCTCAAACCTTGGCAAATAAGGAGGATTTAAGCACCGAAATGGTGCCAAGGCTAAAACTGCCGTCCCCAAAGTGTCCCGCTCTACTGATGCCTGAAACTGAAGACACCTCAGTTTATCGAGTGTCGTCTTGATGAACCTGGAAGCTTTTCAGTTGCCTGGAATTTGGTTTCTGTGGCTGCCCGGTGTATTGTAATCTAAGCAGCCTTGCTCACAGCTAGTCCCTGCTGGGATCGAATGAAGCATTTTGGCCGAGGGCCTTCATCTGATAAATACCTTCAGTAAGCTCTTCCTTTAGAACACTATAGGCTGGGCTCAAAACTTGGCAAATGAGAATTTAAGCACCGAAATGGTGCTAAGGCTAAAACTGCAGTCCCCAAAGTGTCCCGCTCTACTGATGCCTGAAACTGGAGACACCTCAGTTTATCGAGTGTCGTCTTGATGAACCTGCCAAAAGACGGTCTTTTGCGATAAGAAGGCAAGGTGCCTTTTTCTAGAAGATGATTCTGGGAGGATGGAGCTGGTGGAGCTCTGGAGGCGGCTCAGCAGCGTCGGTCACCTCATTTTAGGTGACTTGGTGGCTCAGTTGACTTGTGCTTCATAAGCCTGTGCCGGATCCATTGTATTTCTTATACACAGGAAACTGAGCATCTACCCAAGGGTTCTGGGTTGTCCTGAGGACGCGTGTGTGCGTTTTATGTTTTGAAGACTTTAAATCAATAGTAAGTGTGAAGTGCGATGCTCAGGCCTGCCCCGGCTGTGCTGAGACTTGACCTATTTTATCTGAAGCAATCACTTGAAGTGGGTTTGTTCATGCATATGTAAAGCACTGCTTTGAACTACCAGAGTAATAAGTGAACGGCTGTGAATCCTTGCAGCACCTCTTGGAGGGCATCTGAAATATTAATTCCATGTTACACAAACAAGAAGGAAGGTGCCTGCAGCACAGGGGAGGCTAAGATCGGGGGGCCCCATAACCCTGTGCCCAAACCTTCAGAGGGACGTAGTGGATGAAGGATGTA